TCTACTTAACCGTAGTAGCCCAAATGCCATGTTTCTTGATTGAGACATGACCCACTCAGGCCTTCGCGATAGGACAATTGATGCAACCCAACAAATAGATCTTATAATGATTATATCTCGAGGTGGATGATGTTGTGTAATTATTGTGGTTGAACTATGAACATGTGTAGTCATTGTAATAATTAATGTTGATAACTTGTTGTGGTATGTAAGTATGCTATTACATAATTATGAGTTATGTGTGAATTGATTAATGTGCTCTAGTATTGATATAATGATGTATATGGATATTGTGAGGGTCATATCATATTATGAGAAGTCTAAGCAAGGCTTAGCCACAATGTGATTATGAAATTAAATTAATTGAGATACAATTGTGAGTACGTATTTATGCAATATGATAGTTCTTTGAGTATTGTTTATAGGCATCATATGAATAAATGTTTCTAAAAGGGTACGATATGAAATACATTATCGGGGAAGGCCCCATTACGTAAAAGCTTGGGGATTAGTCCTTGAGGATAGCTTGATTTAGGAGTTCCAATCTCTCTTTTTGTGCGCATGGGATGTAACTTGTGTGACTTAGCTATTCTGACCAAATCCTAGTAGTATATCCTCCTAAGGCGAGTGCGTAAAAGGTGTGACCCATCATATATTCCTTGGCTACTTTACGTGTATTACTAGCGACAATGCACATGTGTGATGTTTATTGATGCCATATGAATGATAACATGTAGTTTTTGTCCAATGAATCATGCATCTTAATGTTATGTGGTGTTTAGTTGATATCTTGTGAATGAATGGAATATGTTATATTTTCGATATGTGTATTATGTTATGTTGGTATATGTCTTGTTAGTGTTTGACTGCTCAACTACATCTTACGTTATGACATGAAGTGAGATGTTTCTCACTCTCCTTACTTTATGTTATTCTTCTTGTATGTAGTTGCAGGTGATCTTCAACACAAGTTGAGGATATTCATCACCAAGCTTAGTCCTCATAGATAGATTATATTATGATAGGATGTGACATCAAGACCTAGTTAGAAATTTTCTTATCATGTTCTAAGACAATTGTCTTCTATGTTGAACACAATGTAATTTATTTATGAAATACTTTTCTATTTAATTTTATTTATTCGAGTATTTATGGTATGTGGAATTGAAGGTGATATAGTTATAATCTTTTTCTTTTAGTTGGAGAATTTACTATTTGCCCCTTATTCTTTATTATTGAATCATTTTCCTATGCATGATTAACTGCTTAACCCCAAGAGAGGCCAAGCTATAATACCAATTAAAAGTCAAAGAAACACACAAAAAGGGGTGAATGTGTGTGTGTAAATTTTTGGTAACCTTTTACAAAAAGGATAAATAAAGAAGTTAAATGTTTTAGAAATGTTTCTTCCCAAAAACTTAAGGATGTAGAAAATAAAGAACACTTTGATTTTTATACTATCTCTGTAACGCCATGGAAATACCAAGCTATTTGGTATATATACTCTATATATATATATGTATGTATGTATGCATGTATGTATATGTTGTTTATATGGATTTGGATTGGATTATGAAGATGTGGATTTGAAATGTACTTACCTCTGTGCATGTTGTATGTTGATGTGATTTAGATTAGTTGTTTAAGCATGGTAGTGATTTTATAGTATGAGATGAGAGGTTGATGTTTTGAGAGGTTTATATAGGCATGTGTGTGCATGAATTTGGTAAATGATGCATTGTACACCATTATACTGGTACTAAGAGAGAAGAAGACTGATCACCTTCCTTCTCATCTTGGTTAAGTGAAGTATTATGGCATGCAACTCATTATTCCAAGAATATGTATCTGAAAGTGATGTTTGTTTGTATGTTGATATGCATTTCATATGGTGATGAGTTATGAGTATTGCATGGAAAGGAATAGGATGGGTAGGAGATTGAAGGATAGGAACATAAGATAAATCTGGTCTTTCTGAGTGAATTTGAGGTTGTTTTAGAGCTTAGGGAGTTGAAATACTTCAAGGAATAGGATATTTGAGGTGAATAGGTGCTAAGGGTGAAATTTGGAAATTTTGGAAAATGGCTATATATAGGGATTTAGGATTGGAAAGTCTCATTTTTCAGACAGGGACAGTTCTAGAGAGAGAAAGTAGAGAGAGGAGCTCTGGTCTGGAGGGAAGCTGAGGACACATTTGGGAAGCTTATCAAGCCAGGATCAATCTTCACAACTGGAGTTTCAAGAGATTTGGCTGGCATCTAAAGCCTTGAAAAGGGGGATTAAAGTTTGAGTTGGGATTTGAGGGTTTTGTCCAAATCTTGCATTTCTGAGGTTTCTAAGATAAGGGTAGTACTTATAAGACTTAATCTAGTATGTATGGGTTGAAATATCACATTGATTCCATGTTTTACGCATGATTGAGGCTGGATTGAGCTGGAGAGGGTTTTGGTTAGGGTTCTTCATGATTTCCATAGAATAATGGTTAATACTTGAATTTATTGCTTAAAATGTTATTTTTGGATATTGTTTATGCTTTATAATGGTTCAAACTCATGTAATTTGGATTGGATTCATGATTGGAAGGAATTTTCAAGGTTTTCAAGGGTTTCTGGTTGCAGAATGCGCCAGGCACAGTTCTTGGCGCCGGGCGTGAATTTATCAGAGACCATCATTTCCAAATCACACGAGGCGCAAGTTTAGTCTCGCAGGGCACAATTTGGTTAATGTTATTGCACCAGGCGCAGCATAATTGCACCGGGTACAATGACCTCTTAGGTCTTTGTTTGAGTTTTGCGCCGAGCACGATATTAGTGCGCCGGACGTGAGTATGTTGGTCTTAAGGTCTTCATGAAAGTTTTAGCCTTGGATGTTAGATTTCCAATGGCATTGGAATCATCCAAAAAGGAGGTCTAGAACTCCAGATATGACTGTTTTAGTGAACAGGGGTCAAGCTGCCAGCATTGGTTATAGCTGTTGCAGTTTTTAGAATTTTTAACAAAGTAGATGATGGAATTAGGACTTGATGTCTTCATAAGAGTTGTAGGAAATTTTCTTATCTTTCATATGAGATAAGTATGAGCATGATATGAGTAGTATAACTCTTAATATGCTATTTTATGTGAAGATTGTCATTTCAAAAAGGGTAATTTGGTTAAGTTGATAGTTGTTTTGGGTGTTTAATTATTTATGTTGTTATATTGAGTAATTTGGCATGGTTATGGAAAATTTTGTATGTAATTATGGAATATGCTATGTGTGTTTGGTTTGGAAAGCTAATAGGACTTAGAGGAGTAAGGTTATGGTATGGATTGGGAGATCTCTTGGTGAGATCAGGATATAATCCTTGGAAAAATATGGAATTTGGGAGTCCCATGGTGAGGATTCCAATATGGAACTTTTCCAAAGATTATATAATAAACCATTTCAGATGTTAGGTGGATTCTGAAGTACTCCTCTAAGTATTATATTTGCTACCGGTATGGGGGCAAGGCCGAGTCATACCGATGGATGAAGTGGCCGCGATCACCAGGGTTACGTGACGACGTAACCCAACTATATATTTTCCATGAGAGGTTAGGTGTGTGACATGGGCAGGTGACATGTTCACAAATTCAACACTTAGTTTGGATGTGTTGAGGCCAAAATTTGGTTTGGATGTGTTGGCTACTTAATGGGATTATACAGTGGTGTGACTTTGGTTTGGATGTGGAATATGTATGCATTTGGTATGGATTGTATACATTGGTTATGGATTCTTTATTATTATAGAATATGTATGCATTGGCATGGATGTGTATACATTGGACTTTGGATTAGTTTATATTTGGCATGGAAATGACTTGTTATAATGTTGTCATTCCCTTGGTATGGATACATACTGTTGATGAATATCTAGTTTAATGATATTTTATTATGTTGTACTATGGTTGGTTTTATATGTGCTAACCCTTATATTTCCATGATGTGGACTGTGATGATCTCACTATGTGAGAGAGCAGATAAGGTGTGAGGCTTTGGGATAGCAAGGAGTCTTTTGGTAGTTGCTTTGAGAAGTGGCTAGGCTTAGAGCTTGACCAGCACCTAGGATGTCTTATTTTGATGTTTTCATGATGTTGTAATTATATTATCTTTTTGGATGACTGTATAACCTTACTGGTAATGACTCTTTTATAAAATTATGTTTTATATTATGGAAACAATTTATACGTTATTGTATATTTACACTCTAATGTAGCTGGCCTTTGCTCTATTTTCCTTATTATATATTATTTTATTTTGGTTGTCATATTGGTTATTGATGTGACGGCCTACGGCAAGTCGTTACAATCTCACTCAACTTGAGTTATGTCTAATCACCTTTAAACTATAAGGGTTCCATTAACCATGAGGATAATACAAAATATTCTTCACTACCACTTCTAAATTACACAATATTCTCTATGTCATTGTTGGATGAAACCATAAACAAAAGTTTACAAGTTTCTTTTATCAAGCCTTTTCAAGCTCAATCTAAGAACTATAGGTTAGTATTTATTACAAGGTTAACTTTTCCAACCTTCCTCCCCTTTGAGCGTGACCACCACCACCCTAAACACCAACTCTCCCTTAGTTTCTAGGTTGCCTTTGGCTAACCTCCTCCCATCTCCACCCTCAGCGCCATTTATCAAATTATTATTAAAAATTATCACTAACCATGTTAATCATTAATGATTAATAATGACTATATTATATTGTTATTTAATTCAAGTAACTTGTAAATAAAAATTTTACTTGTCAAATTCTAGGATCATTTATTTTAGTAAATTCTACCTATAATTATAATAATATTTATGTGTTTTGTATGTTTCTTGTTCAAATATAATTACGTAATGATACATTAAATTAACAATTTTTAACATTATAAAAAAATCAAGACAACATCTAACCATAGGTCTAGCATGACATTTTTATTATTAAGACATTAACATCCATCAATTCTAAAACATATCCAACATATTAAGTAACTCAAAATCAAATTCATGATTAATGCTCAAAAGCAAAATATGTAAATTGTCCTAAAATTAATCTTGCTTCAAATATAAAAACAGGTTCAAATTCATGAGTTCATCATGTCTAACAAAAAAAAAACAATAATATGTCAAACTCCATGAACATTACTATCTAATGAAGATCCTCCTTGTGGTGTTGCCATGTCATGTCCACTCCCTTCATCCTATAAAATATTAAACTTCAATTAAGTATTAATATAATTTAATTTAGTGCAAAAACATATAAAACACTTACCGCTACATTACTAATAAGTTTCATAGTATTTTAAGTTAATATAATTACCAGAACAAACATTGATGCCTGCATCACGAACAAACTCAAGGGTTTTCAGGCGCTCATCATAACTCCTTGTTGTGATGATGTTTGGATAATATTCCCTAGAAGTGTCAAGATTGTGATTATAGGCAGTGAAACCTACCTTCTTGAGTTCAACAGCCTGTTGTTTCTCAAGCATGCCAAGGGTGCAACAAACCTCCATCCCCATATCCCTACAATAAGGCTGAGAAACCTACCTTCTTGAGTTCAACAACCTATTGTTTTTACCTAAAACAAAATTCCCGACATCTAAACTACGATACATTTCTTAATTTAAATAAGAAGATATATGATGCTTAAGTAAAGAAATGTTGGGAACGAATGCATAACTCAAATGACACCATTCCATGGGAGGCAGATCCAAAGAGTTTTCCAGAGATCAGTAATGACATCACGAGGCCACAAGCTAGAGAAGAACACTACACATAAATTGATTATCTGATAAAAGTGTACCTTATTTGCAGCCCCGAGCACAGCTTCCTTGTTCATAAGGCGTTGGCCTTTGATTCCTGTGTCATACTTAGAGGATTGAGGACAATAGGAACAATCTTCACTGCACCCTCCTATTTTGATAGATAGAAGAGTACACTGCTACACTTCCCTAAAGTTATGAGCATGTCTATGAACTTGAGCCTGCAAAACAAATCACCCCCAAAATAGATAATATATGTTGTGATTCTAAAGCTTCAATAACAGACTTTGCCTCTTTCAGATCATCATTTGTATCTTCTAATTGCTTGCTTGTTTGCTTAAGCTTGTCTTTTGCCATCAGAAATTCCTGATTTAAGCATGTTGTTTGGTCCTCCAATAGGCCACGGAAGTTTTCTGCACCAGTAGTAAATGGAAATTGTTAGAAATATATTGAACTTTTTTAGCATACACATGAACACCAATTATCACTTCAATAGATGGACTATTTTAGGAGTTAATTAGTGATTACTATTCTAATAATGACTATATTTCAACCATAACAATACAAATATATCCCTTTGTGCAGTTTAGAAACACAATTTTAGCATACATTTTGTTTTAACAGGCAAATATATCCCTCTGTGCAGTTCATGAACTGCTTCAGGTAATTAAAGACTGACCTGAGGTTCAATATCATGATTTGAATTACCCTGTATCGAGTTTCTTCCATGGTACTGAAGCAACTGCAGAACAAAGGTTTTTCAATCATAGAATCTTAAATGCAAGGATTCTAGAAGGGAAATTATTTGTATTAAAATCCAGAAACACAAGTACCTGTTCCCTCAAAGAAGACACTTCAGTCAAAAGAATCTCTCTCTCACCTTCTTCATAGAACTCTTGATATCTGTGATAATAATGATAAGGATCTGCTAAAAACTGAGAACATTTCATAGTCATTTTCTTGGTTAGAGAAGATACATCACCTTCTAAGTTGGTCCAGAAGCTTCGAATCCGCTTTCTCGATTATCTTCACCACTTGATCCACAACGGCCTTGCAAGCGGGTGAGTTTGGCTTGAACGCTGATTTCCTCAACTCGGCGTCTTTCTCCGCCACCGCGGTAATCTCCATCACCGCCATCGCCGAATTGTACTGCACCGCCTCCGTTCCCTTCCAAATCGTGGTTGGTTTTCCCTTCCAACTTTTTTTGAAGTTATGCCTTCGCCACCACAATTGTAGCCGGAGAAGTCACATTTCTCTGCAATTTTCCATAATCACGAGGAAACTATAATTGAACGCTGAGTAGAGAGAAGAATTACATTACCTCTTAGGACTTTGAAATTTGTCGAGGAAGACAAAAGAGAATGAGAGCTTGGCATTTCTTCGACTCGTATCATGAGCAAATTCTTTGACTTGCAAAAAAACAGAGAATGAATGAGTGAACCCTAAAAAGTGGAGAGAAAAAGAGTAATAGAGTAGTGTTTTTGATTAAAAATGGAAAATGGGAAATCCCCATCAAAAACGTTTTTCTTCTTGGTTTCACAAAGAAAACTCCCCAAGATTGTCACAAAGACTTCACAAACACGTTTTTCTAATTTTGATTCTCAATTCTAACTCTGTTCTGAAGTTTCAAAATGGTCAAACTATTTATAAGTTTTTCAGAACCAGATAATCGATTATTTTAAAGAATAATCGATTATTTTGTTCTTCATGATTTCTGGAAATCAACCAAGAACAATTTAATCGATTATTTTGCTGGATAATCGATTATTCCAGAGAGTTATTTTTGGGATAATCGATTATTTCACAAATAATCGATTATTGCAGCAAGGTATCCTTTTATACCTGTTGCTGGAATAATCGATTATATTTAATGATAATCGATTATTTTGAGTTAGTTTTCAAAACTCTATTTTAAGTCTCAAAATAACTTTTTAACCTTTTAAACTCATCATCATACATTCCCTTAATCGGATTAGATACAGATTAGCCAAAGCACAAAGCACACACACAACAAATAAACTCAACAAAGAAATTTAAAAACTACTCCTATTACATAACATTTTCTTTGACTTTGTTTTTGACTTCAAAGTTGTTGATGTCCTTGGTCAACTTTGTTCCACACATTTTTTATCATCAAAACCTTTAGTCTTCAGAGGTGATCTCAACAATCTCAATCTCCTCCAATCTCAACAAAAATAACAGTTTATTGTTCACTTATCAGTTCCATTCCTAGCCTATCTCTAGGCCATATGTATCTATCTTCTTGAAGGGGCTTGGTAAAAATATTTGCTAGTTGTTCTTTCTGTTTTAACATATATTAGTTCGAAGGTTCCTTTTCGTACATGATATCTAATGAAATGGTGTTTTATCTTTATGTGTTTAGTCCTAGAGTGCAAAACAGGAATTTTAGAGATGCTAATTGCAACAGTGTTATCACAAAGTACAGGAATACTACTCTCATAGATGTCGTAGTCTTCCAGCTGATGTTTGATTCAAAGTAATTGCGTGAGGCACTGTCCTGCGACGATATACTCAGCTTCACAAAACCATGATGAGCTAGATGTTACAAAAACGTTTTTGGTTACAAACAATTCACAGTAGATAAACCTCAATTTTTTTTATCAAATTAATATTCAATTTTGCCATGTATTAAAAAGGGTACATTCAATAGATAGCAAGGCTGAAGAGATATATGTTTTTTATGGGGTATTCTTTTTTGTTTATCTAGGATCTTCTCAATCCACTATATGCATGCATGTATATGTATTTATTTACATAAAAGGAGCATAAAAATTAAGTATAGTTCTAGAACTAATGTCAAAGATATTTTCTCAATAGATGTAAAATTGAAATCAATTCGAATATTTATATATATACATTATAGATGCATCATATCACTTAGAATTTCTCTAAAACTTGACATTTCATCAAAACAAATCCCTCACATGGACATGCATTGTTTACTTAAAGTAGTATATGAAGCATAAAGGGCTGAAATTAATGCTTAAATTGGCACTGGATCTATTAGCAAAAGCTTTAATAGATGTCTTCATTATTCCTTCTGAATGTGTGAAGTTATCTTTATCTTTATAGAATACATCGATGAAACATGTGAGGTTGAAAATGCGTTTCAAAAAAGGCATGGGAACATTGGCTGGCATAAGGCACTCCTCGTTTATAACCTTCCAACTATCTGTTATTCTCTTTTGACATTCATGAATGGCAGCTTCCCTAGACTCGTCATATTAATTCATATAACATTCTAAGAATGAGGAAACATGTCCTCTTTTTTGTTCAAACTATAAAACAAGAAATAATTTATACAAATTAATATTTACATGCTTTAATGGGAATATAGACTTTGATGAGAAGGATTCTTAAAATCAAATATCATACCTCGTTGGACACGATGTCATCCATTAGCCTGCAAACAATAGAGGTAGCCTTTAAAATTTTTGGCTCATTTGTTGCCCATTTAAAGATGTTCTCTGTGGCTATGTCTCCCATGCCAATGTAACTTGTTATGGCCATTAATGAGCAGCAACATGATATTGTTGATGTGTGCAAGTACTCATTTTTTGTTGTTGGTTTATAGTTGTTGTTTAACCATCTGGCCTCAGTCATGTTGGCTCGAACCAACTTTTTTTGTACTGCCAAACAAAATATAATGCATTATAATAAATATAGAGAGACTGAATCTAAAAGTATACCATGCAAAATATTTTTCTTTGTACTTTGGCTAGAATTATGATAGCTTTTAGTATTAAGGAGTACTTTTTATATTTAATTTTTAGAATAAGTGTACAAAAAGGATACCTTAATTGGTGATAACTCACAAAATCTAAATTTTATAATGAATTAATGTTATTGCAAATCCTTAATTAAGTTTGTTGATAGAAACCTTGAGTCTCTCAATAGAAACTACAAACTAATTTGATATATAAATCTTGTAACTCAAGTGCTGATTAAAATCGGGAAAAATAACTCATACTTCTTCTATGCTATAGTTAATGCAATTTGTTCTTCTTTCTTTCATCATTTCTTGCTCTATTTCTTCATAAAGATTTATGAGTAACTTATAAGGTAATTTCATGGATTCCGTGAGATCATCCAAGCAACTAATATCCCACCTGAAAATCAGTTTCATTAAAATAATTACATAATTGTTTTTTTCTTATAAATATAGAGTGAAGAAAATTTGTGTTTTTATAATTTGCTAATCAACCTTTCAATTGCCTCAGTCAAAAGTTCTAATTCACCAATGGTTCCATATGCATCATACATATCATCAATGATTATTGTTATGGCAAGTACTTTCATGAATATTCTTCTTGCTTGAGAATATTGGGGCTCAAAATATGCCACAATCCTGTCTCGCACATAGGGTAATTTACTAGAGACATCCAACTCTTTAACCACCTATATAATTGAAGACTAGAAACAATAGCATACTACAAGAATGTTGGTTATTAGTGTCGGTTTCTAACCGACTCTATCGTGTAATTAGCGTTGGCTATGCATCAACATAATGGCCTTCACTAAATTTGTTGACACTAGATATATTGTGTCGGTCTGACAAACGGACATTTCGTAGAGATGGCTAAACTAACTCTTAATTGTCGTTAAAATATGTCGGGTTGCTTTTAAATATTAAATAAATTTTGTTTAGCGTTAGATATAGAGACGTTAAATTACAATATTTTTTAAAATTAAAATTAGTTATTATCGACAATAAATAAATTTTTTTTTTAAAATTTATATTTTTAGTGTTAACAAAGTCGACTCAAACATAATTTTTTATTTATTATTATTATTTTATTGTCTGCTAAGTTAACACTTAAAGTTAGTTATGTTAGTTTAAGTCGTAGAATAAGGTTTTGTGGGCTTAGTCGACACTAAAGTTTCATATTTTTTTTTTTAATTTTGGAGTCAGCCTAATAAGGGCTTGGCCAACACTATGACTAGTTTTTTTTAATTTTATTTTAGAGTCAGCCTAATGAGGGCTAGACCGATACTATGACCAGTTTTTTTTATATAAATTTAATGTTAACCTTTGTTGTGTTTGGCTCATCATTCTTCTGTATCAGCCAATGCACATCAACAACCTGTGTCCATCACACTGCAACTATTTTCTGTGTTGGAATACAGTGAGGTACAGTATACAAAATAAGGAATTACACCAGCATGATTCAAACCTGTCACATCTATTGATATGTACGTAATAAGCTAATTATTTTCCATCTTAGAACATTATTTTTAAGATCTTTATAGTATATGAAGTTTTGAAGAATTATTCTCACTTTAGTTGAGATATAATTTGCTTTTAGTGCATGTACATATGGGATGTTGTAGTTTGAGTGCGTAGCATTCTAAGCATTACTTTTAGCTACATGAAATTAAAGTACCAAAACTAATCAACTTCTAATTTCTCTTCCAGAATATTATCTTCAGTTGTTTTTCCTTGCATGAGGAGCTTTCATATGGACATTTCATCGATCAGAGGGTTACCTGAACTGGTAAGATACATATCTCTTGTCACTACATTTTCAGATATTTAAATTTTAATAAAAAAAATTCTAATAAAAAATTAGAATCCATAAATTAAGAACCAACTACATATATATGGTGATAACAAGTAGGAATGTGCACACCATTTATGTCATAAGCAACATCAAACTGTTGTGCCAAGATATTGAATTTTACAAAGTCAAAGTTCTTGTCTCCTTTGAAATGCAACATTTGGGAAATTAAAAATAGTATAGAGTAAATGCTCTGAAAAAAAAATGTAACAAAGATGAAAAGTCATAGATTCACATCATTCCTTACAAGAAGGTTAGTCCAATATTTTCATTTACAATTAGCATACCATGGAAGAAAAATCATCAGCATAATGACTGTCTGATTCACCTAGTAATTGCTGAGTGACAGGCGTTTTACCTCTTGTAAATAAAGTCACCTGCCAAATTCATATGTTTATAATCAAATCCATAAGTACTTCTAGGAGCAATGAAAAATCATTCCTTACAGCAAATGCAGGCCAACCAAAATGACTAATTAATGTGAAATAGACAAGTCATATACCTTCTTTGACTAGGAGCCTGGATAAAAAGACACTGATAAACCTGGTGTGCCTCCCATGATGAGGATTTTCTTGGTGCTTGATGTAGAGACATGGAAAAACCCTTTTGACTGCCATAATTTTGTGTTGAACTGTACCCAAAGACATTAGTTGCCAAGAAGAACAAAAAATGCGAAATACCAAATAATAAGTGAATAGCTATTTAATTTATATTGAACTAAATCTGAAGCATTTTTTGCAAGTAAAACACTCAACCTTATTCAAATCAAATGAAAAATAAATCAACCCCAATAATTATTGATGCAATATAAATCATTGCCTCTTCAATAGCCTACAATTTAGATCAAACATCAATGATACGAGCAAGAGTTAACATTAGCTATTTATCAATTGTATAAAAATTACAATGGC